ATGGAATAGTGAATTTTGTGCTACATTAGACCACTGTATGCTTTCATACTGTATTGGTTGTTTTTCTACTGTAATTTAAAAACCCAAACCAACTCTGTTAATTAAGCTCTCTGGCCAAGAGCTCACTTGGATCCCTGACAGTCCCTAGTTAAAGCTTAGTTTGTAGTTTTTGACAGCAAACCAAGACCCTCTTGTTTGCTTCAGGAAAACTGGCTGGTTTTAGTCCCTGGCGTTATTTTTAGCGGTACCCTCATTCCAACAAGTCACCAATCCTCTTGACCATGACTTAGAATTGTGCCAGAATTTTCTTGGTGGTTTTTTTGTTTGAGACAGGTAGTAGTAGTAGTAATGAAATTATCGTTAGCTTGATTTTAATTTTCGACAAATTATCTTGGAAACAGGAATAAGGTGGTATATTGAGATGATAAAGCAAGGACAAAAGCAACTAAATCAAATTTACTTGAACTAATACATGTGTTTTTGGCATATATCTTAATTCTTTTATTTCTTACTCCTTAATTAGTCCATAACTCAGAAGGTGAAAACCACCACAGGCAAGTGACATTTTATGAAATGAATTGTTTAAAATGTACTTTTTGTGATAATGGCACTTGACATGAATAGTATTTAGTATTTTTTTTTTTTTACAATTTGACTTACTTCTGTTGACATGTTTGGAAAGAGGTAAAAAGTCTGAGTGAGAAACTTTCAGTACTTTTATTATTAAATGCACCTCATCTCTCTTTATGTGACTCCTTACCAGAAAAGAAATGGCCTAAGAATTTCCACCTGCCTGATATGACATTTGTAAAAGTCTTATAGTACTTTGATTTCATAAATATATTACCCAAAGTAACTTATTTTTATAACCCATGCCCCTTAAGGAGCCCAAAACTAAGCTCAAAGGGAAACCACAAACCTTGAAAAAAATTAGAAATATTCTTTCTTTCCCCTCTATGGTCTCCTGGTGTCAATTAACTAAAACTCCTCAGTCTGTGACCTTGAGAAACCTTGAGGCTAAATAGGAGGAGTATTGAAGGTCATCCAGTCCACCACTACCCAAAAAGGGGAGCAAAAATTCATGATAACAGGTAAGTGTTTTTATAATTATGGCAGATGGTGATTGAAGCAAAGGCAGTTCAAAAGGGGAGACACGAGAAAGCCATAATTTTGAATGTTTGACATTTGTTTTGGAACTACCTTACTACCCTATACCCTTTACCATCTGTCTGTTATCCCTCCCAACACCCACCTCGGTCTTCCCACAGGGCTCCATTGTCTGCAGTTCCTGTTTCTCAGGGGCGGAGCTGTGGGAGGCAGCCATGGGTGCCATAATAGGCACCTGCGGCCAGCACAATGGGCTGTGGGTGCTTGTGGGAGAGACAGATTGATGTATTGTGCATGGGGGAGGAGGGCTGTCACTTGAATCCATGTGAACCCAGGCTTTAGGGGCAAGGGAGATTGACAGCTTTTGTAGGTTGCATTTCTTTTTCAAAGCTTGGCTTTAATAGACAGTAAGTTTGGGGCCCCAGGCTTTCACTCCCATAATTCTAACAGGGCAATCACGAGCATTCAGCATTTCTTTTTACCCCCCTTGTTACGCATTAAATGATTTCAGTAAAGGAATGTGCAGCATTAATTAGAATTTGTTAGCAGATACCAAGGGGAAAAGTTTCTTCACAACAACTATAGGAGGTGTCATTTGTACAAAGACTTTTTTGTTTTCTTTCCCCATTACATTATCACTGCAATATGTAAGGTAGTGATTCTTTTCATTTAAATTAAGTGGAAAGCTACTAAATCTTGTTTTATTCTCCAAAAAGAATAAGGTCCTTAACACTTATCTTTTAACTTCTTTCATTTCCTAAGGTTGGTGTTTACTTTTGCTTTCAGTCCGACCCATTTACTGATCTGTGTGGTTGTGTATCCAGTTTTGTGTACCATTTAGCTCTTACAATTACAGGCAGCCCACTACTGATATATAAGGATTGTTTCAGGTGAAAATAGATACCAATAATACTGAAAATCATTGACACACTGGAGCCCTTTTTGGTAATGGTACACTGAGAAATGCCAAAAAATTAGATTCCCCTAGGTTTGTGTCCTAATTTATTTTCTAAAACTATTTTTCTCTAGTTGATATTTAACCTTAGCTATGACATCAAATTTATGGGAGAATGGGGCAGCGGCCAAGGAATACTTTTTCCCATAGAAAACTCATTCCTAAATCATGTCAGTATTTTTAAACATCAAAAGTCCCCGCCCCACCTTAAACACACACAGATAGCATCATTTCCTTATAGCTAGTTAAAATGATCTTAGGGTTTTTTTGGTTTTATATTGTTTCTATTTTCTATTCTGATTTTTATTCCTGACGTTTTAGACTTATATGGGAACAAAATTAATCTCAGATGGGATATCTTGTAAATGTACTCTTTGCCACCTGAAGAACTGATAAAAATTAAAAATGTTGGCTGTGATTTTTCTAACATCTCTCCCATATAAAATCATTTTCTCTATGGAAGGAGTTGGAGGCTAATTGAATTAGGATTTTTCCCATTCATTGGTTTATTTAAATGTGTTAAGGGCAATAGTGAAAAATATTAGAAGTCTACCATTATTTCTCAGGAAGAACATATTCCCACACAGTTGTCTGGCTCTGTCTATTATAATAATTTGGTGCAATGGTTTTAAAAGTAGTGGGGTGATAATAATTAGGGTGTGCGACACAGAAATTTCAATGCTGGATTCAACATTTCACCATGCAGGGCATGAAAATTGCCGACTGGGGCTAGTCAGCTCTAAGTACTAATTAACTAATTAATCAGGTGCTGAGACCAACTGAATGGAGGATACCAGCCAGACAACTGAAGCCCAAGCAGAGGGTTGTGCTCTTTCAAAGACAGTGCAGTCTTTCTTCTTGGTTTTTAACCCAATCAAAAATGAGGGGAGAAAATAGGATATCGTGTCCTACTGTCAGTCATTTCAGTCTAAGCTTTTTACGTAGAGAAAATAAAATAAAAACATGTGCCTCTGATAATAACTGTGAGGCACTGTGTGCAGAGCAACCCCCCAAAGCTCTGGCAAACTCAGTATCTCCTTGGCCATGAACTATTTCAGGGCTGGTGTATGTGGGTGTGTGTGGGAGGAAGGGGATCTGCCTTCTTGGAGTTTTCTACAATTATATTTTTTTAACATTGGAGAATGAGAAATGTATTTCTCTTTTTGGACTGATCTTAGGTCTTTTGCCTCATCCCTCGTTTATGTAAATGAGAAGAGTCCAATTACACATATGGAAAAAGGGTTTAATGAATCGTGAAAAAGCCTGGTTTGCAGAGAAAGGGCACAATCCCCTCTTCTTCTTCTTCTCTTTTATATTTAACTTAGAAACATGTATTTCTTTTAAGGAAGATGATAAAGCTTAATGATTAGATCATTTTATTTTATATACTAATTTTCATATTTGAGAATTATTAAACATATTTTGCTAGAAGATTTAGCTTCCTTTATCTTTGTAAGGCTTCATAGAGACCTAGTAAGTATTGTCTACAACAAAAACTGTGAAATTCTAACTTTTTTCCTAAATTAAAAAACTTATTACATGTTAGTTCCTCCCATTTTTTATGTTATTCTTAGCTCAGTGATAATTTTTCTTCTCTTAACACGGTTTGCTCTGGAACTGTCTGCACTGAAAAAGAACTGCATCATTACAGGAGAGGAGGGTTGTTATTGAACCCAAGGAAAAGACTTTAGTATCACATAGGTTTAGCTTAACTGTGGTATTATTATGATGTTTTGCCTAGCTATAATTTTTAGGGTGTTGAATTAGGTTTTTTTTTCTTTCCTAAAAGACAGTCAATTTTTACACTAGAGCAGAGAATACCGTGTTTGAGATTTCATTTTCCTATTTTCTCTTCCCTTACTTCTTCATTTGGAATTTTCAGTAGTTGAAAGGAGACCACAGAGAACCCCCAACCCATTTTTTTAATGACAAAAACCTTGCAAGGATACTGAGGGAAAAAAATTATTACCATTTCTGTTGTGACTCTTAGATTTGATAAGTATGCAACTAGCCCGGAAGAGGTGCTTTGCAGAGACAGCAGGAAAGTTCTAAATCACGGCTGTAAGTGCTTTTCAGAGACCTGGTCCAGCAACCTCATTTGGCACTTGGGGAAACTGAGGCCCAGGAAGCGGGGGGCGGGGGCAGAGTTATATGATTTTTTTTCCTCTACAAAATACTGCGTCGATCAGCGGAAAATACTTTTCTTGGGTACCTACTATGTAGAGGGCATTGCTGGGATTCAGACTGCTTGCCTATTCACGGGGGCCATGCTCTTTCCACTCTACCCACTACCCCCCACCCCCCGGCCTTCCCGGATCGGCGCCCTGGATGTGATCGACACCATGAAGTTGCCCCATAATCCTCTCTGGCAACATAGGATGTAAAATTTGATCAGCTCATTGGATGAAGCCGACAAGTCTCAAAAATGTGTGAAAAGGGGGCCAAGTGGTAGGCAAGCGCCGCGTTGAAGCGGCGCTCCAGCCGGTCCCCCTCCGAGTTCTTGGTGCGGCAGCCGCGGCGGAGCGGGGGTTGGGGCTGAGCTGCGGGACCGCGGCTGAGGCGGCGGCGGCGACCGAGGCGGCAGCAGCGGCGGCTGCGGGGAGGCCGCGGCGCCATGGGGGGCCCCTAGGAGCGGACTGCGGGGCCGGAAGGGGGCAGCAAGGCGGCGCCGGCGGCTGCGGAGTTATCTCCGCGGCGTAGCTGGGGGCCGGGCCGGGCGGGGCGGGGCGGGGCGTGCACCAGGGCCGCGGGCGGCGCGCGCCGGAACAGTTGGCCTCAGGGCCCCGCCGCCCGCGCGACCGCCCGCCGGCGCACGCGGAGGAGGCGGCGGCCACAGAAGGAGGAGGGGAGCTCGGAGCAGGAGGTGAGGTGGAGGTGGAGGAGCAAGAGTAGGCGGAGGAGGAGGCGGCGGTGGAGGAGACGAGCGGCCAGAAGGAGGATGGAGGAGCAGCCGAAGGAGGGCGAGGCCGAGGTCGCGGAGCACTGGTTCTCCAAGTGGGAACGCCAGTGCTTGGCCGAGGCCGAGCAGGAAGAGCAGCTGCCCCCTGAGCTGCAGGAGGAGGCGGCCGCTGAGGCAGCGGGGCTCAAGACCGAGCAGCAGAGGCTGTGGCACCTCTTCCAGACCTCTGCCACCGCCGTGGCCCAGCTCTACAAAGATTCCGGGTGCCAACAGCCAGAACTGTCCATGTGGGACCCCTTCCAGAATGCGGCCATGGCCGTGACCAGTCTCTACAAAGAGAGCGGGGATGCCCACCAAAGAAGTTTTGACCTGGGCGTCCAGGTTGGCTACCAGCGTCGCATCAAAGACGTCCTGGAGTGGGTGAAGAAGGGCCGGAGCACCATTCTCCGCGAAGACCTGATTAGCTTCCTGTGCGGCAAAGTGCCCCCCGCACCTCCATCATCACGCACCCCCAGGACGCCGCCGAAGCCGCCCGCCGCGGCCACCAGCCAGGCCACAGCCACTGAATCCAGTTCGTCCGTAGAAGTCGACCTGCAGCCCTTCCACGAGGCCATCGCCCTGCATGGCCTCAGTGGTGCCATGGCGAGCATCAGCGTGAGATCTGGTGCGCCCGGCTCCCCGCCTCAAGCCAGCAGCATCGCCAGCAATGGCGTCGCCAGCAATGGCGTCGCCACCAATGGCGTCGCCACCAATGGCGTCGCCACCAATGGCACCGGCGGCGGGCGCCGAAAAAGTAGCTTCCTCGAGGACGACTTGAACCCCTTCAACTCAGAAGAACTGGCCCTCCGCCTGGACAGCGGGGGGACCCGCAAGCGCACCTCGGCCCAGTGTGGGGATAGTGTCACAGACTCCCCAACCCACAAGCGCAACCGAATGGTCTGAACCGTGCCGTTGGCCGCCAGCCGCCATGTTGTCTGAGAGCTAATTAGACCTTCTACATGCTTGTCGAAAGGATGCTCGAGACCATCGTTTTCTTCTCAAAGTTAAACAAAGATTTCTGTCAAGTTTGCCATAAAGAAACTTTTAAAGTATTCTAGAAGAGGCCTCGTATGACTCTGACTTTCCCAAAAATATAATTCTAGCAGAGAACAAGTAATATGTAGTAGTTAGCAAGATCAGAAAAAACAGAAGTATCTGGTCAAAGCGGGAGCCTGGTTTATCTTGTTCACAGTTATATTCCTTAGCACTTAGCACAGTTGCTGGTGCTCAATAAATGTTTGTTGAATGAAAAATGTGACCTTATTTAAAATTCTTAAAGGGGAAGGACTAATAGGTGTTTACTTGGTTATAGGATACTTTTATCCTCTATTATTTGGTTATTTGCTTTAACCATTTTTTGCCAGTTCAGTTACATCTTATCAAAATGTAAAACTTGACATCTTGGTGAAATCTGGAGTTTTCTATTTTTGCTCCACTTTACCATGCACCTAATTTGTACAAAGTGTGCAAGTAATACATATTAGGCTGTGAGGTGCTTTTTTATATATATATATATATATAGCTGCTTATGGTGATTATGTGATGGTGTAAAGGGGGTGCTATAATGGTTGGGCAGGTAATACTTGATACTGAGTCAATTCAGTGCTCTTTAGGAAAATTAAACCAAAAATTGAGATCCTGAGATCAAAGATGGTGTTCCTGGTGGCCCAGTAATGCTCCTTTTTCTGAGGAATGTAAAAAGTTCCTTTTCCTAAGGTTACATCTTTTTGGTGATCTCTGTTTTGAATTGGAAGACAGTAGTCAGAATGAACTGGGTTTTATTTAAGGATACAGCATGATATAACTAAAAGAGCATGAGCTTTGTATTAAAAAAGGACCAACAGTAAAATCCCAGTCCCAAATCTTCATTACATTATTTTGGGCAAATCACTTAATGTCTCTTGACCTCAGTCTTTCATCTGTAAAATGGAACTGTGTGTCTCCTAAAGTAGTCATGAGGATAAGATGACATCCGTAATTTAAGTATCTAGCCCAGTATTTAACACCTAAAGGTACTCAATAAATGTTCTCCCTTCTCTATAAGTAAAAGTCAGTAAAACATTAAAATCCACTATATTTTAGAAAAAGCAGGAAAACATCAATTTAGGAATCAGTAGAATCTCTGTGTTTGAACAGGAAACTACTGTCCTGATAGTTGAAACTTGCCTAAATATCCCAGGTCTTGTATTATAAGTGTGTTTAGCTCGTGAGTACTCAGGATTGTCACTCTGCATATTAGGGCAGCCTTGGAGTTCCTGAAATTGCCTGAGGGATACACCTTATAACTAGAGTTATGAAAGATCTACTTCCTCTGGCCTGAAAAAATATGGGGAGGGGGACAAGAATGGAAAGGATTTGGAAATGAAAGTCCTAGGGACACCTAAAAGGCCAAAGTGGTTCTGAATAGGGGTGGGTGGAGTGGAGGTGATGAAAGAGTCCGTGTGGAGGCAGAGGAGGTGGCAGTGAAGTTATGGAAGGGGTGGGAGGAAGTTAAAATGTACATACCTCCCCCAGGCTCTTCCCAAGCAAGCATATAAAATATTGTAGATAGTTGAGTAATACCTTGCCTTTAGGTTCATATCAGAAGATTGTTTCATTAGTGTGGGCTTTGGAGTAGATTTGTAATCAACGAATGCATTAAAATAATACAACAAAATAAAGTGAATTCCCGGATAGAATAAAAACTTGTTGTTGAGGCAATCTTCACATACTTACTGAGGCACTGTGCTAGGTCCTGAGAAGGGATGTAAAAAAAAAAAAAAAGAAAACCAAAACCAAAAACAATCTTTATCTTCAAGGGGCACATCCTAACTTGGAAGGTAAATTAATGTAGTAAAAAAAGCACTTCTAATTGTAGGAAAAGCACCTAAGGACTGTGCGGAAGAATTCAGAGGAAGAAGGTCCTCCTTGCCAAGAGGGTTACAGCTTCTGGAGGAAGTAGCATTTGAACTGAGCCCAGAAAAATGTGTAGAAAGAGAGGGCACAGGGGATACCAGCAGGGGAAGAGTATCTGACAAAGTTTGAGAAGGAGGGAAAAACAGTAAAGTGTGTTCAGGGGATCACAGGAGCTAGGGAGGGGAGGCAGGGGCCAAATTATACTTGAAGGTCTCAAATGCCTGGCCCAGTACTTTAGATTCTATCCTAGGGCAGGGGATGATACCACCCCCTTTAGGAAGATAGCAGGATGCCTGGATGTCCAGCAGGGATAGCACAGGGTGTCCCTATAGGATAGTTGTTACTGGGGACATTGCCTTTTGGTTAATCAGGGTTGTGGAGATGTTTACCTTGACAGGACTTTCTCTGGGAAGCCTTTGCTCACTCATACCCTCCCACACCTCAAACCATACCAGGTAGGAGGCACCCCCAGTGTGCATTCTGTACTGCTTCTTGGAGACTGAGAAAGCCTTTAATTCCAGCTGCAGAATCTCCTGGACGGCTAGTCTTGAAGAAACAAAATAGTCATGTCTTCCCTTCTGTCATTCTTCCTGCTTCTTGTGTCCCAGAGCCCTCTTCCAGTGGAATCACTGGGGCATTAGGGGCTGCAGGATTGACTGAGCAACCACAGTAACTTTAACAGGTAGGTATGGAGAGTGGTAAGAGGGCATGTCAGTATGAGGGAAGGGACCTCATTTGTCTTGTTTTCTTCTGTAATTCCCAGTGCCTAGCACAGTGCCTGATCCATATGGGTACACGGTAAATATTTATTAGATGAGTGAGCCCCCATCCAGACTCAGGCATAGCTATTTCCTTTCTCCCTTTCTGTTTACTTACTGCCCAGGAAGGACACCTGAAGCCCATGCTCTAATTTCTAGATGATTTCTCCCCTGCATGCCTTTAACCTTATTCCTAACTATCAGATTCAGCTTTTTGAAAAGTGGTCAGTCTCATGACCACCTCCCTTGGGAATATCCTGAATTGCTTATGAAGGTAGCAGCTCCAGGTGAATTAAAATCTCAATAGGAGGGTCCCTGAACCGACCTGCTTTCAGGAGGAGGCCTCAGTGATTGTGATGCCTAGTAAAGTCTGAAGCCCCTGAGCTAATTTCTATGTATGTATGCATGTATGCATGTATGTATTTATCCTATATTGAAGGGCCTAAGAGGTAGCTGTTGAGACAGTCAGCAATCTTGTCACCTTAACCTTAACCTTCCACGATAGCGTGGTTAAAGAACCACAGAGAAGTCTGAAACCCAAGGGACCCCACTGTGAGATTTGTGATTGATTCAAGGAGCTAATTTAAAATCAATCATTGGTGGTGAAATTTCTGTGCAGGCCTAAAGTTATTCCCTCCTTTTTTACTTATTATCTTTATCATCACTTTGCATCTCTCCCTCTTTTTTTTAAGTTTATTTATTTAAGTAATCTCTACACCCAACGTGGGACTCGAACTCACAACCCCGTGATCAAGAGTTACATGCTCTTCTGACTGAGTCAGCCAGGCACCCCTCACTTTGCATATCTCATAAATTTTCCTTCTAGGAGTGCGGATGAGAAGACTTGAGTCTAAAACTTGTTATTAAATGAAATCTCCTCATTCGTGTCCTTTTATAGGAACCTGAGAAAAGGCTGATTTCCTAAACTCTAGCTGACTATTTGATCCATTAAACCACTGCTTGCTAATCAAAATTCCTTATGAACTGAGAGGAAACATTGCCGTGAGATCATTTTGCCGTTTATGAAATGATGATTGAGTAGGGGGTCAGGGGAGGATTGGTTGTTGATCAGCCCGGGCCTTCATGGAGGCTTACAGAATTCCTCTAGTAGCAAATGCATGGTGGGATCCTTCCTAAGTTCAGAGCCAAGAGGGACCTTAAAGATCATCTAGGGCAGGGTCAACTATTGAGTTTACAGGTGGGACAAGTGACCTCACCCAGGAGGGCTACAGTGACTCATTGGTAAGACTAATACCACATACCAGGTTCCAGTCCATTGTTCACTGTGCCTCCCTGAGTTATATTGTGTATGACCTTTTAATTAATATGCTGTTGATTGAGTGGGGCTAGGAAACTTGTATTGTGAGGCCACTCTGGCATGGCAAGCATACTGTCTTTACTGTGTTGTGTTTCTTTGGGGGAAGCTGTTGGCCTCGTGCATTCAGGGAATACAGGTCATCCCTTGCCACCAGCGCACTTCAGCGACCAGCCAAACAGGACTACTTAAGTTTCCTTTCTATCTTCTCTGGCCTCTAGCCTTTTTAATTTTCATACCTTCCTCTCCCTTCCAAGTTGGGGTTAAAGTCCCCTCCCCAAAGTTCTCATTTTGGACTCATCACGGGAATTGTCAGTTTGTGTCTGTCTGCCCCACTAGACGGCAAACCATTAAGTCTCATCCCAATGGGGTCTCTTCCCTAGGGAGGTGTGTACACATCTCCATTACTGCATGTGTAGGTTAAAAAGACATATTCAACATTATACCATACTTTTATATTTTTTAACGGAAGAATTATTTTTGTCATAAAATTATACTGTGGGAAGGAAAGCTCAAAGTAAAACTTTGGAGGAGCAGTTTTATTCTATGGGGCATTATATGTGCTTCCTCAAAGAAGTGTAGCCTATAATAATAAGTTATCAACATTCCTCCTCATTTGTAGATATGACTGTAGTGTCCCAGGCGTCAGTGGCAAGCCCATGGGATCCGGGTTTAAGTTTTGACTTTCCCAATAAGTGACTTGGAACAAGTCAGCCTTTTTTGCTTTTTATATATGAAATAAAGGAGTTAGTTATGTTAGATGATCTTTAAGGTGTCCACAGCTCTGGCACTTTCTGATCTGTGATCTAATTCAATAGGCAGTGGTAGCAATTACCTTCTTTCTATGATATTCTCATTTTGATAATCTAGTGTCTGACTAGCTGAGCTCCGCGAGCCCCTTGAAACAAGGATTCCCAGGCTTACCTCTCTCTTTT